CCCCTCTTTTGGCGATTCCGGTTCATCCCATATCTGAGACAGGCCCCCTCATTTGGAGATTCAGCTTCACGATACATCTTAAGCAAACCCATCCTGTGGCGATTTCGGTTCATCATATATCTTAAACATGCGCCTTTATTTATGTCTGCACCCTTGAAGGAGCTTCACACGCCCAAGCCTGACCTATCACGGAATGCAACCGGGTAGTTGGCGGCGGACGCAAAGACTGAGTGGCCGATCGGGGGGCAGGCGAACGAACGTCGACCAACAGACCGACCGACTGCTTGAAAGGCCGGCGGGACCAACCGACTGACTGACTGACCGGCAGGCTCGCGAACCGAACGACCGACTGACTGACTGACTGGCCGGTGCTGGGTACGCAAACCGACCGACCAACCAGCCGACTGACTGACTGACTGACTGACTGACTGAGCGCGTGGAGCCACTAGCTGCCTGACTGACATGGGCCGACCTCAAAAGAAAAACCCAAAAACAAAAAATCAAAAAACACACATACCCAAAAAGAACACCCACCCGAGGGTGGGGGGGACCATTTTTTTCGAACTTATGTTGACTAGGGCTGTCCAGGTGGTGGTGCTGCACCGTCTGCACTTTCACCACCTTCAACACCTTCACCAGGCTGACAGCATCTGACAGCACATTTGCTCACAGATGTCTCGGCAACAAGGTTCACCAACATGCCGGTTCCAGCCTTCTTCCTGCGCCGCTTCTTGCGTGCTTCCGGGGAGCCGTTCGGGGAACCTGCTCTCTTCGCCAGGCGGGCAAGAACAATTTGCGGGAAAGCCCCTGCCTTCCCTGAGATTGCAGAAGCTTTCCTGCCAAAATCTGCCAAAGCATCCACAAAGCTGACAGGGCAACCGCTAAACCTCCGAGCTTGACAAGCCTGACAAGGCAGACTCTCCAGACGATCTCTTCAGGTCAGTCAGAGTATTCTGAGGGTGTAATTTTTGGTAGTTTAGTCCGGGTGACCGGCTCCATTGACTCCACCATGCATCCACGGTAAGATCTGAGAGCCGTGTCTGGTTCGCCTCGTCGCATCGAGTCGGTGACTCGCAGCTTCCAAGTGGAACCTTGCCCATAGGATAAACGCAGCATGGGATGGGATGCTTTCAAAGAGCATCTAGTCTCGGTTGTTTGGGGCCTTGAGGTCACACAACAAATGCTGAAGGTCATTCATCAGCACGACGCGGAACTTCTGGAACTCCTTCAAGGACTGGATGTTGCAGCACGCCAGCACTCTCAGCATTGTATTTTGAGAAGTTGAGTTTTTCAGATGCAAAGCGTTTTGGAAGCGCGGGTGCCTGCTCAACCAGCAATCTCATGTCTTTGCACGTGACTGCCTCGAGCTCTGCCTGGTGATCGAAGACTGCAAAACTGCATTTGCTCCTGAATACTGCAACCAAAGGTGCCTTTTCTGCTGCATCGGCACCAACCTGTTTTGAAGAAGTGGTGCTTTTGCAGGTGACAAACTGAGGTGAGTTGAAATCAACAAGGGAGCCTCAGCCTCAGCTGGCCAAAGAACTTTCCACATGCGTCAATGCTTCGACAAGCCGAGCAGTAACTCGGAGCACCTACTACATGCACTTTGCCAAGATTGCAGATGGATATGTGTGTGTGTGTGTCTGTGTGTGTCACATGTGTCGCCGCAGGCCTAACTGGTGCCGAACTAATGGCTGGGCCGGAGGTAGGGGCCTAAAGCCGGAATCGTGGGGACACAGGGTGCTACAAGGTGTTGCAACGAACCTGAGCCGACTCAAAATGGCTCGGGTTCGCAGGCTTCCAGCATCTTCCAGGCGCAAAAGTCCGCAAGCTTTCAAGAGTCACCAAGCCTGCCCACCATGCTGAGCACTAACCATTGCTGGGCTCGGTTTGCAGGAGTGCGCCCTGCAAGACTGTTGCTCCGCGTGTTCACGCGCCGACTGTACAAAGCAGCACATGACGGCTGTACAGCGTGGGGCACAGCACAAGTATCACAACATGCCGGCATCGAAAACCAACAAAACTGCCAAAAATTCTAAGATCGGCTCCCAGGGGCCTGTCCGTTGTGTCTACAAGTTTGGCCCCCTACAGACACTGAACTTAGTCACCTGGCTAACTGGGGTAAACATTTCGCTAAGTGGACGATTATGTGCAATAAGCTAACAAGTTCTGTAGCGTTTATGAGAATGTCTTGAAGATCTAAGTATACTTAGCACACTTACGAACTTTAACATGCCAGAAATTATTCTGACGAAGTTATGGAATTTACCGAAATTATGGATGTTTCCTGGCTTTGCTTGGGGAACAACATGACTTTTGACAAAAGAAAAAATCAAAGCCACTTCTTGTTGTTGTTATTGTCTTAACTATGTTCGCTTTTTGGGTGGTCTGCTCAAGTGACACCGTTTTACAAGCTAATCTGCTTGGAATGGCAGCATTTTCGTGTGTTGAACTACAGATAAAGCTGGTTTTACATAAGAAACCTGGCTCAGAGTTGAGAAATGGGCTTCCTCTCGCGCAAAATATGAAATAGTTTACCACAAGCCAGATAGCTCACAGCGATTGAAAGGCTTATAGACATATTCTTGGACGCAGCACAACAGCGAACAGCAGCATTTGGAGTGCCATGTCGGACCTCGGTGCTGGTGGCGAATCTCAATCGATGCAGCAGAGCGCCGACAGCGGTGGTGCCGCATTTCTGTGTCCAACCTAGCAGCAAAAACAATAGCGCAGTGTGTGAAGGGAAGGTCCATGAACCAGCTGGAACTCTCGCAATTCGGGCTGCAGATATCTGTGATGGAGTTGCAGCCCGAAGAGCGAGCGGAACTGCGGAGAGTGATGGCAAGCGCGGTGGTTCCGCAACGTCGGTTGTCGGAAGGCCAAAAGCCAGCATGCAAGACTGGACCTTGTTGCCAATGTTTTTGACAGACGCAGCACGCCTGGTTCACATGGGCGTGCGAAACCCCAGAGAACAGAAGCGGTGAAGCGAGAAGCCTCCGGATCGAGAAAAAAAGAGCTGAAATGCCTCCAGTTTCTTGCCGAATCCTTGTTTGTCTTTGTTTCTTCTGCCGTTTGGCCATGTCATGGGGGGAATCTGGCAAAAAGCACTATCACTACCATTATGACACCCCGTACCCTGCAAGTGCTTGGATTCCAGGAAATACTTATTTCGTGAGTTTGAGTGTGAGGTTGAGTGTGAGCATGAATTTCCAGCCCATCTGGAAGTGTAAGGTTGAGTGTGAGCGAAAGTGGGAGCATGAATGGGCCACTCACACTCCGGATCCCGCTCGCACTCCCTCTACCGCTCCCGCTCACACTTCCACTCACACTTCCGCTCACACTCCCTTTCACACTCCCGCTCACACTTCCGCTCACACTCCCGCTCACACATTTTTGCTGGAAAACACAGTCAAAAGTGTGAGCGGAAGTGTGAGCATGATTGGGCAACTCACACGCCCGCTCACACCCCCGCTCACACTTCCGCTCACACTCTCGCTCACACAAAACCTCACACAAATAACATTTTCAGACCATCCCAAGGGTTGCAGGGACTGGGTCTCATAACACTCCCAGCGGTGGTTTCCGCATTTTTTCAGCAACAGTTCAGAACCAGAAATCCACTGGCCAAAAGCTTGTTATGTTTAAGCTCCCGATTTTATACCTAACTTATCACTAACTAAGCTTGTAACTTCGAGAAGTATGTTAGTAAGGTCAGTACCTGTAGGGCGCCAAACTTGTAACATTCGTGCAGATCTATCCTGCCGATAGCGGGGGGGCCAAAGGATATTTGCATCCCAATCGAGTCGACGATGCACTGTACTGATGACTTGGTTGCTGGCATCCCGAGTATTTTGGGCTGCACTTATCCGCCAGCCCCGGTCCACCGACCGTGAGGCTCAGGTGGGTTTGCTTTTTGTCTAGATGACCATCACTGGCATGGAAGCGACGTATCTACAAGTGACAAGTACTGCCCAGAAAGTTTCCAACTTCTAAAGCAATCAGCCATACGAGTACGCACAAAAGGCTGGCCCACCCTTTGCCGGGCTACCTTTTTTTTGGTTTTCAATTTGAATTTTTTTTTTTGCATTTGTGGTAGCAGCATTGGCTCGAATTCGTTGGTGCAACATGCCGCCCGTTACTTACACCCACATCCTTCATACCTAGGCCTAGGCGTAGCAGTCCGAAGCGAGCAAGTCCCCCGCATATTTCAAACCCTGAGGCATGCCACCAACCTCAATCCCAGAAGCCGCGCGAAGCCGGTGAAGAATCGCAAGCCTGTGACATTCCCACGAAATGTCAAACTCTGGGTGACTTCCGAGCTCTCTGTGGCATTCTGTGGCCTTTGGTGCGATGAAGAGAGATCCGACGCCCCTGAACAAGTTACGCGTGGCAGAGCAGTAGCAATAGCAATCGTCCCTATCACCAACAATGAAATGGGCATTTTAGATCTCCACAACGCTCTGCGGATGTGCTTTGGCAGTTCTGGCACGTTCTCTTGGAACAGGTCCAGTCACGGGCCTTCTGTCTGCGCAACTCCTCTTCTGCCTGCCGCGTTGCATCTTCGAAGCATGACACACCAGGCTTTCTCTATCTTTCTCTAACTACGCACGCGTTCTTCGCCAAGCTCCAACCTCCGCCTCTGCGCAAGCCTCGTCCAAAGGCAATTCCTCCTACCGAGCAACGCAGCATCGAAAAAGCAGTACTGCAGAACAGGCTGAAGAAAGAATCCAGCAACAGTGACGAGTATATCACCGTCCGTGTCTTCACCAGGAGTGAGAACAAGATAGTCGTATGGGAGAGGGAGTAAATTAGCAAGCAAGGGAAACACATCTAACTAACGCGGTTGACAACTCCATCAGCGAAGGACCACCCATACCCTATAAAGTTGGGCAGCTTCGACCCGGAGCCGAGTCCTCCATTCCAGCCACTTCGATCTGGCTCTTGTCTGACTCAGCCTCGGGGCACAGTAGGGGCGATCGGATGGGGGGCGGGGGGGGGGACTACGCGCGCGTTCTTCGCCAAGCTCCAACCTCCGCCTCTGCGCAAGCCTCGTCCAAAGGCAATTCCTCCTACCGAGCAACGCAGCATCGAAAAAGCAGTACTGCAGAACAGGCTGAAGAAAGAATCCAGCAACAGTGACGAGTATATCACCGTCCGTGTCTTCACCAGGAGTGAGAACAAGATAGTCGTATGGGAGAGGGAGTAAATCAGCAAGCAAGGGAAACACATCTAACTAACGCGGTTGACAACTCCATCAGCGAAGGACCACCCATACCCTATAAAGTTGGGCAGCTTCGACCCGGAGCCGAGTCCTCCATGCCCGCCACCTCGATCTGGCTCTTGTCTGACTTCGCCTCGGGGCACAGTAGGGGCGATCGGATGGGGGGCGGGGGGGGGGGACTACGCGCGCGTTCTTCGCCAAGCTCCAACCTCCGCCTCTGCGCAAGCCTCGTCCAAAGGCGATTCCTCCTACCGAGCAACGCAGCATCGAAAAAGCAGTACTGCAGAACAGGCTGAAGAAAGAATCCAGCAACAGTGACGAGTATATCACCGTCCGTGTCTTCACCAGGAGTGAGAACAAGATAGTCGTATGGGAGAGGGAGTAAATCAGCAAGCAAGGGAAACACATCTAACTAACGCGGTTGACAACTCCATCAGCGAAGGACCACCCATACCCTATAAAGTTGGGCAGCTTCGACCCGGAGCCGAGTCCTCCATTCCAGCCACTTCGATCTGGCTCTTGTCTGACTCAGCCTCGGGGCACAGTAGGGGCGATCGGATGGGGGGCGGGGGGGGGGACTACGCGCGCGTTCTTCGCCAAGCTCCAACCTCCGCCTCTGCGCAAGCCTCGTCCAAAGGCGATTCCTCCTACCGAGCAACGCAGCATCGAAAAAGCAGTGCTGCAGAACAGGCTGAAGAAAGAATCCAGCAACAGTGACGAGTATATCACCGTCCGTGTCTTCACCAGGAGTGAGAACAAGATAGTCGTATGGGAGAGGGAGTAAATTAGCAAGCAAGGGAAACACATCTAACTAACGCGGTTGACAACTCCATCAGCGAAGGACCACCCATACCCTATAAAGTTGGGCAGCTTCGACCCGGAGCCGAGTCCTCCATTCCAGCCACTTCGATCTGGCTCTTGTCTGACTCAGCCTCGGGGCACAGTAGGGGCGATCGGATGGGGGGCGGGGGGGGGGGACTACGCACGCGTTCTTCGCCAAGCTCCAACCTCCGCCTCTGCGCAAGCCTCGTCCAAAGGCGATTCCTCCTACCGAGCAACGCAGCATCGAAAAAGCAGTACTGCAGAACAGGCTGAAGAAAGAATCCAGCAACAGTGACGAGTATATCACCGTCCGTGTCTTCACCAGGAGTGAGAACAAGATAGTCGTATGGGAGAGGGAGTAAATCAGCAAGCAAGGGAAACACATCTAACTAACGCGGTTGACAACTCCATCAGCGAAGGACCACCCATACCCTATAAAGTTGGGCAGCTTCGACCCGGAGCCGAGTCCTCCATTCCAGCCACTTCGATCTGGCTCTTGTCTGACTTCACCTCGGGGCACAGTAGGGCAGTAGGGGTGATGGGGTCGGGGCGCTTCTCCTTGCGATGCCCCAAATATTTGATGGTTCTTGCTACGTATTGCTGTTTGGATGTCTCAAACAGTGCAGCACAATCTGCGAGGCCTTCTCCAACGCTTGCTTCTACTGGTATGTTGAAATGTTGGGTCAGCGGCCTTATCTTGCCGATCATCATCTGAAACCTGCGTCCGGCTGCTTCTGCATGCTTCCCCCACAGCCAACCACTCCCTCATCTACCTCGAAGGCCGCCGCCCCCGCAACATACAGCAAGCGTCAGCCTTCCACCAAACTCCGCGATCGTTCGATCGGATAGTGATCTTCTCCTGTGAGGCGGCATAAAGTGATGTATCCACACCATGCAGCACACGTACATGCGTAGTGCAGGCCTGTGCACTGGCCTCTTCTATTGTCGTTGTTTCTTCAATCGCCGCCTGGGAGGGAAGGAGGGAAGCAGGCGCTACGCGGCTAGGCGGTACAAGCTCTGCGGTTGTAGCCAACACCAAGCCCGCAACAAACGTCCAGTCCGCGCACCACCAGCACACGGCAAAGTACCTCGAGGTGCTCACTTTTTCTCATTGACAAGTTCAGGTTCGGGTTCGGGTTCCCGCTCACGTTCGGGTCGGGATTCGGGCAGATTTATTTATCCCGGGTCCGGGGTGGGAATCGGGTTCAGGGGGCGGGCCGGGCCGGGGGGTTTAGGCTCGGGTTCTCGGCTTGGGGGGGTTTTAGGGACGGGTTGACGGGTTCGGATGCAGGGGGCGGGAACGTTCTGTTTATTTCTTGCTAAGTCTCCGCACTCAGCGCCGCTCGAACACTCGCTGAACAGCCCGAAGCCGCACGAGAGCTCCCTTTTTGCACACCCGATCAGGATCTTGTACGACAGGCTTGAAGACGCCCAGGAGGTCGGGCTCAAGTTCAGCATCTATCGTGATAGGATCACGAACTCCAGACCAAGAGCCGCGGCCTCACCGGCTTACTCTCCGTTTGAGGGGTGGAACTTCATGGCTCGCGGCATCTCTATCCAATCCGTTGACAAGATTGAGATATTTGCACGGATCAGACTCCCGAATCCGAGGTGATCGATTGAGGAGAAAAGGGCTTTCTCCGGGACCCACATGGCTGACGCATGCTGACGCCCGTGTCGCCATTGTGTGGCCAGAGCCGGATGACCCCGTCGCCAGGCAGTATACTCGCCGGGTCGTTGAGTTGGAATTTGCAAAGCATTGTTACATCTGCTTCCAGGCCCGACTCGCATGTGCAGAGTTGGATCAATCAAACTTGGGCCTGTCCGGCTGGCAGAAAGGCCGTGCCACCGCCGCCGCCAACGCCGCCCCGAAGGGCTGGCTACGAGTATGACGCTTCACTGCCGTCGCTGCCCTCATCCAAAACATCTGTGCCCTCTGCTATTAAAAGCCGGAGGGAAGGGGGGGTTTAGGTTCGGGTTCGGGTTCAGGGCGGGAACGTTCTGTTCATTATGTCATTTAAGGATCGGAGGGGGGGGGTTCGCGCAATAGGGGTGGGGGGCCACGATTTTCAATGTTCACCGTCGCTTTGCAAGGGTTTTTGATGGTTTTGGCACGGGCCCCAACTGTAACCCGTCGCTTTACAGAGGTTTGTGTTTCGAGCCAACTGTCAGCACCAATCAATCTGTTGAAGTCAAACCTTCTGTGGGTACTATACGGGGCGTCGCTTTTCAATGTTCCCCGTCGCTTTACAGGGTTATTGACCCTTCAGCATGTAAATGCCCTACCAAGCTAAAACCGCAAGTACCATAGTTTTGACCCTTGCTCATATAAAAGCCAAGTGACGCCGCAGCTTCGTGACTCCATTCCGCCTGGCACAAAGGTCTGGGGGCTCTCGTCAACGCATCAATTTCATAGCTCAGGCTTGCAGATTGCAGCCCTCTGCATGACCATGTCCAGCCTGGAAGACTACGCGAAGTCCACTTCGCAGATGCTGACGATCACCGGCGAAGCTAGTGACATCCCTGGCAGGCGACGCGGTACTTATAATGCCAAACATCATGGGCAGTGTGTAACTCAGCTGCCCCTTTTTTGGCCCTGCACGAGGCTGAATTGAACCCTCTGCGGCCCAGCTGCGCACAGACGTAGCCGTAAAATTGCCATTCGTCTGGCAGGAGGTAGCCGAAGCCCTGATTAGGTTTACACGGTTTACACTCTTGGATAGCAGCGCAGTCCGACAATCCCAAATAATATCGCTACCGAAGCTCTTGAAACTGCTGGGCCTCAAGAGGACTGAAGTTCTGCAGAATACCCTGTGGCATTGACCTGAGAAAGCCAAAAGCAACAGCACGAAGTGGTGACTCAGGGTTATCGGAGCGCAGGTGTGCAGAGGAGTCGGCGGCAGTGTTGGCGGACCTCAAAGTGAAGAAGCTTGAGCCCAAGGCTGCAGGCTGACGCACCGACTCATGCATGGCAACACCGGAACAACGAAAAACCCGCTGGAATCGAATCCAAGGCAAGGGTGTGTTCACAAAACAATCTAGCCATCTAGCCGCAAGGAAATGAAAAATGTGCAACCTTTTCCAGCTGCTTTCAGCCTTCTGTCAGCTTAGACTCTTAGCGTCTGCCTCCAGCGGCGCTGAACCGAGTTCATCGGCACTGAATCCTCAAGCTTCCTGCTGACGCTGCCTCTTGGCTCAGCCGACGTGAGTGAGAATGAGAAAACGCAGCACGAAGATACAGCACCAGGTCCGTACCACAGCAACTGATGTTGCTGCTTCCTCTGCGAGTTCTCAGGGCGATCTTCCCATCAGCAGCCTTGATGAGTCCTGGCGAGTCCGCCATCGCGTTCTATGTGCGGTGATACTGGGTCGGTCCAGCTGAGAGGATCCAAACAGAACCCAAAACCACCAACAAAGAACATAACACCGGTGTAACAACTCTCGTACACTCTGTTACCCCAAAACGCAACAGCTTCGATTAACTTCTGCTGCACACCGAATCCCTCCAACACCTGTGGAGACTCTGAAATAGTGCGAAGCTCCCCGTTAAGTTAAAGCGGACGGCCCCTCGAGAGCCTGTAACTCTGTAACCATAAACATAAGCTGTGCTACCCGTGTGTGGTTCAAGGTTCAACCGCTGCAAAGAGGCAAGATTTTGGGTTTCCGGAGGAGTTTGATGCTAGACTCCCGAGTCCCAGTGTTCCTGAAGCTAGACAGTTTCACACGTATGGTTCAAACGCCCTCCATATATACCCCGCCCAAAAACGAATTCATATTATAACATCATAATATGAACTAATCCGCCTCCTGCATTCTCATCTTGTCCATATGCTTATTCGTTTGCTTATGTCTGGCGAAGTGACATTTCAGAACATCGCAATCACAAACATCACAGCCAATCGCCAAAGAATTTTACACTTGCTTTTCTTCCCTGTGCCTCTCACGATAATCTTTATGCTGCTCCATCCGTTTCTCCTTATTCATTTCCCTCTACAACTTCATATTTCAATGCACCACCTACGCGACATATAACCTTCATCAAATTCCTCAACCTTCCGATTTCGCCGACACATAGAACAGTTTTTCATATTTACACACACTCTACACATCTCCGCAGCCGCTTCAAAAAACTCATCTGCTCGTCTCCTCAAAGGAAGAGTTAAGGGCAAAAGAATGCGAATACATTAGAAAACTAGCAACACTGAATAAAAACATTGCAGGAAGAAATAAGAATATGTCGAGGGCAGATTTCCCAGAAAACGGACGAGCGCAGGCACAACTATCGCGAAAAAATATCCTGAACGGGTAAATGAAAGTCAAAAACATACCGAGAGAAATGCGGAGACAAATTAAGAAAAACACATTTGGAAAGATATCATAAACAGCCAAAGAACTGTCAATGCGAATGTGGTTCAACATATAGTCTCTGCCATATGGCAAGACACGAACGAACCAATAAACACCAAGCATACTTCCAATCATTAGTTACTGATTAGATAAAACCAGTTCACAAAAACACTACCTGAGAACATTTGCTTAAATATTGCAATGATGGCTGGTGGCAAGAGATGCGAGATAGATGCGGAAATGTTGGCCATGGCTGACGAAATTAAAGATATTGAAGAAGAGAAGGTCTAGAAACAGAGATAGGATATTTTCTTTGAAACGTAAAGGTGCAAAACTCTATGAACAGTTGGAGCAGTTTTTTGATGAAGACAGCGATATCTATAATATGTTTCACGTTAGTTTTCAAAATAACTTAATTACGAAAACTAATTATGAAAATTAAATAAGGTTCACGCCTAGGTTCGCGGATGGGGGGGGTGGGGTTGGGGTTGGATTGTTTTTTGGTAACGGTTTTTGGTGCAGTGGATATATCATAATTGGTAAGGTCTTTTTGTTGGATATTGTGGCATTTTTGTCTTAAAGAGAAGGTAGTATTATTAGGCATGGCGAATTCTAGAAAACTTTGTATGAGATGTAAGAGGAGACGAGCAGATGAGTTTTTTGAAGCGGATGCGGAGATGTGTAGAGTGTGTGCAAAAGAATTGTCGCCTAGGGTGAGGAATTTGATGAAGGTTATATGTCGCGTAGGCGGTGCATTGAAATATGAAGTTGTAAAGGGAAATGAATAAGGAGAAACGGATGGAGCAGCGTAAGGATTATCGTGAGAGGCACAGGGAAGAAAAGCAAGTGTAAAATTCTTTGGCGATTGGCTGTGATGTTTGTGATTGCGATGTTCTGAAATGTCACTTTGCCAGACCTAAGACAACGAATAAGTATATGGACAAAATGAGAATGCAGGAGGCGGATTAGTTCATATTATGATGTTATAATATGAATTCGTTTTTGGGCGGGATATATATGGAGGGCGTTTGAACCATACGTGTGAAACTGTCTAGCTCCTGAGTGAGGTTCGTTGCTTGCAATCCCTCAAGCCTGCAACACCGAACACGAAGCACGGCATTAAAGGCGGGCCTGCACCTTGACCCTCCATGCCATCTTCCATGAGCAGCCCGCTCCACTAGTGTGGATTGCCCAAGTCCCGCATCTTCAGGACAGTATCCGGATCGATGTCGAGGCTTTTTCCAAGGATTTTCAGCAGATGCAGAGCACCAGCCTCCCTCATTGCGCGCGTTTCCTCATGTTCAGAGCCTTGTGGGGACAAGCACCGGAGGATGCTCAGCAGGAGCTGCAGGAGCTGCATCGGAGAGTCAGTGAAGAAAAAGCGGCTCAGCATCACCAAAGCAAGGAGGCCTTGGCAGTTAGCAAAACAGAATCTCTGCGCATCTCTGAAACAAACTTAGCTGCTCATGTCGAGGGTCTCTTTCGACGATGTTCGAACTCTTTTTTGAATGCTTTCAGCATCCTCTTCTGGTCGTCCGTCAAGGCCAGCATATAGCCCACGTTTGACACCGGGCTCTTCGATGGGTCCAACAAGGATAGCCGCAGCATCATGTGAGCCACATAAGCCTTAGGCTAGTATACCAGGACAATCCAGGACATATCAATTTAAACGGTTTTACTTCGAACATGCCCGCCCTACAGATTTGGATTTTTTGGGGGTTGGGCACTTCAGGGGCACTTTGGGGTTGGGCATTCTAGGGGCACTATGGGATTGGGATGGGTGGGGCACTACAGGGACACTCTCAGGGACACTGTGGGGTTGGACACTCCAGGGACACCCTGGCACTCCAGGGATGAACGAGGAGTAGACCCGAGGAGAAGAGTTTAGTTTAACATCTACAGTATCAACCCCACACCGAGGGTGGGAAATAACATCTGAATGGTGCTCAAGTGTGATGTCTGACCTCCCGGCCTGAGTTGGGATGATGTTCCTGGACGCAACGCGAAGTGATAGCAGGTCACCGATCGGAAGGTATGTACAAATCTCCACGAAGTTCCTCAGCTCTGAAGAGTCACCAAGCCTAGTTGCTCTAAGGTTCTGATGAAAGTTCTGCTGCGTTTACCGCATTACGAGCGGCTCGGCGCATGGCAGACATTTCTCACATTCGAGCCGTTTCTTGACCTGCCACGTACGGCCAAAACAAAGCTGAAGCCTCCCCACTCAAGATGTAGCCCCGCCACTCACGGCGCTTGCCTCCTTATCCAACACACACGTCTCCAGCACGAGCTTGCCAGCTGTCTCTGCTTTGGCGGTGGGAAGCCTCACCCCCCAGCGTCGGGCCGTCCGATTCTCCAAAAAAACGTTGATTCCAAAGCTGCACTTGTCTGCACTTGTACTACGGCGCAACCACAACTGTCAACTGTGGAACCCTCTGTACCTGTCCGACACACAACACAGCAGCGATTCCAACGATTGCAGCACGCTTTCAGCAGTGGAGTGCTGGTCCACTCATCGCTGTCCACGGTTCATGATGCAACTCCAACCCCAGAAATGGCGGCTACAGAGTTGGCGAAACTGTTTGGTGCCTTCATCTTCTGTGGCCAAGGCACTCAAGCGTGGGAGCCATTGGATGGCAATCGTCACTCGGGCCCTGAACCATTGGACAACAATTGTGCAATACTGTGCTGCAGCGGTGGCATGTGACGTTGACTGTGATGTAGAGGCAAGAGGCGCCAAGCCGCGCCTGTGATGGGGCATCCGCCACGCTCATGGACATCAAAGCCTTCCCCAGCGGAAGCAACGAACACCCGAGACATCAACAACATGCCACTGTGCCGCACTGTGCATGCCGCTGTGTGCCCTTCGCCTCAGCGACGGTCTCATCCCCGAGCCTGACAAAGGCGCATTCGATCAGCCACGCCGTCCGCTCCCCGTCATCTCCACTTAGGCAAATGCTTCGCCCAGTCCGCTTCGTACTCGTCTTCCAGGGAAGTGGCAGATTGGGTGATGTCCGGCTTGGCCTCGCAGGAGACAACTGCTGAAACCGCTGAGGCACGGCACAGAACACCTACCATGCCTAGAGAAAAAGACCGGTCCTCGCGTGCTGAGGGTCTATCTCGAGCCACTGCAGAGCTTGGCACGGTGTCTGCATCATTATCCTTCGGCCACACTGGATCTCTGTCGACTGTAGCACCCAGATAGTGAGGGGTAACCAATTTTTTGGGGGGTATTTTTCTTGAGTGCTTTTTTTTGGTTTTCGTGTCGGTCCATATACAAAAACTGCAAGAGTCGCCGGGATGGTTTTCGGCCGAATGGTCTTCGGCCCTCTTTCCGTCACTCAAGTTTGTATAGCCGCATAGCCGTATAGCCGTCAGTCCGGTCCGCCCAAGGTCTACCCGACTGCATTCCGTGACAGCTCAAGCTCTGGACGTGTGAAGTTCCGGACAAGGGTTTAACGTTTGTAATGATGATAACAGCTTGGAAATATTGTACATAGGCATGTGCATATACAAACACAAAAACATAGCTGAAAACAAGGACATACACAATTGCACATGCATATACATACACATATACATGTACATATACAGTGCGTGCGGGCTCAGTGGCCGCAGATGGCCATGCGCTGGATTGCGCCGATTGCGCTGGAATGCGCCGATTGCGCTGGAATGCGCCGAATGCGTTGGAATGCGCTGGAAAGCACCGATTGCGCCGAATTGCGCCAATTGCGCCGTTTGCGCCGTTTGCGCCGAATTGCGCCGAATTGCGCCGATTGCGCCGAATTGCGCCGTTTGCGCCGAAGTGCGCCGAATTGCGCCGAATGCGCCGAATTGCGCCGAATTGCGCCGAATTGCGCTGGAATTGCGCTGGAATTGCGCTGGAATTCTGCCTACAGCCTGGCACATGACAGGCAATACTACCCTGTGGCTGTTGCAGCCTGGTTGCTACCTTGGTTTTGCAGCCTGCGATTTCCGGGCAGTGCCTGTCGTACCAGGTTTTTGTGGCTCATTGCTGGCAGCAGTTCCCGCAGTCCTGCGAATTCTCTTCAACTGTCAGTCAGAGAGAGTTTTTACATTTCACGTGGGGTTATATTGCATCCTATTCAGCGGATTTTTTGGCGAACGACCACGAATCTCGACTCAATTGACGTGCTCTTGTGCGTGCACCCGGAATTTGACGCGCACTTCGGAACTGTTTTGGGTTTATTGTTGTGTCTCTGTTCTTCTGAAAGTCTTCTGAAATCTATGACTACCGACCGATTCTTGAGTCAGAACCCTGACAGGTCTTGAACTCTGAGGGTGGGGCCTTGGACTCTGATGGGGCGGGGCGCCCCTGATTTTAAAATCAGAACCCTTACGGATCCTTGAACTCCGAGGGTGGGGCTTTGGACTGATGGGGCACCCCTGATTCTGAAATCAAAGCTTTGACAGATGTTGAACTCCGAGGATGAGGACTTGGACTGATGGAGCGCCCATGATTTTCAGATCACCGCCTCTTAGTGAGCTTGAACTCCGGGGGTGGGGCCTCGGACGCCCCTGGTTTGTTTAAACAGAACTCTTTCAAATCTTGAACTCCGAGGGTGGGGCCTTGGACTTGATGGGCGGGGCGCCCCTGATTTTTAAATCAGAACCCTTACAGATCCTTGAACTCCGAGGGTGGGGCTTTGGACTGATGGGGCACCCCTCATTCTTAAATCAAAGCTTTGACAGATGTTGAACTCCGAGGAGGAGGCCCTGGACTGATGGAGCGCCCATGATTTTCAGATCACCGCCTCTTAGTGAGCTTGTCCTCCGGGGGTGGGGCCTTGGACGCCAGTGGTTTTTCTTCAGAACTCTTACAAATCTTGAACTCCGAGGGTCGGGCCTTGGGTTGATGGGGCACCCCTGATTTCTAAATCACAACCCTTACAGATCTTGAACTCCGAGGGTGGGGCCTTGGACTCTGATGGAGCGGGGCGCCCCTGATTTCTAAATCCCAACCCTTACGGATCTTGAACTCCGAGGGTGGGGCCTTGGACTCTGATGGAGCGGGGCGCCCCTGATTCTTAAATCAAAGCTTTGACAGATGTTGAACAGGAGGAGGAGGCCCTGGACTGATGGAGCGCCCATGATTTTCAGATCACCGCCTCTTAGTGAGCTTGTCCTCCGGGGGTGGCCACTGGTTTTTCTTCAGAACTCTTACAAATCTTGAACTCCGAGGGTCGGGCCTTGGGTTGATGGGGCACCCCTGATTTCTAAATCACAACCAGTACAGATCTTGAACTCCGAGGGTGGGGCCTTGGACTCTGATGTGGCGGGGCGCCCCTGATTTTTAAGTCAGAACCCTTACAGATCTTGAACTCCGAGGGTGGGGCCTTGGACTCTGATGGAGCGGGGCGCCCCTGATTTTTAAATCAGAACCCTTACAGATCCTTGAACTCCGAGGGTGTGGCTTTGGACTGATGGGGCACCCCTGATTCTTAAATCAAAGCTTTGACAGATGTTGAACAGGAGGAGGAGGCCCTGGACTGATGGAGCGCCCATGATTTTCAGATCACCGCCTCTTAGTGAGCTTGAACTCCGGGGGTGGGGCCTCGGACGCCCCTGGTTGTTTTAATCAGAACTCTTTCAAATCTTGAACTCCGAGGGTGGGGCCTTGGACTCTGATGGAGCGGGGCGCCCCTGATTTCTAAATCACAACCCTTACAGATCTTGAACTCCGAGGGTGGGGCCTTGGACTCTGATGGAGCGGGGCGCCCCTGATTTTTAAGTCAGAACCCTTACAGATCCTTGAACTCCGAGGGTGGAGCTTTGGACTGATGGGGCACCCCTGATTCTGAAATCAAAGCTTTGACAGATGTTGAACTCCGAGGATGAGGCCCTGGACTGATGGAGCGCCAGATCACCGCCTCTTAGTGAGCTTGAACTCCGGGGGTGGGGCCTCGGACGCCCCTGGTTGTTTTAATCAGAACTTTTTCAAATCTTGAACTCCGAGGGTCGGGCCTTGGGTTGATGGGGCACCCCTGATTTCTATATCACAACCTTTACAGATCTTGAACTCCGAGGGTGGGGCCTCGGACTCTGATGGAGCGGGGCGCCCCTGATTTTTAAATCAGAACCCTTACAGATCCTTGAACTCCGAGGGGGCCTTGGACTCTGATGGAGCGGGGCGCCCCTGATTTCTAAATCACAACCCTTACAGATCTTGAACTCCGAGGGTGGGGCTTTGGACTCTGATGGAGCGGGGCGCCCCTGATTTTTAAATCAGAACCCTTACAGATCCTTGAACTCCGAGGGTGGAGCTTTGGACTGATGGGGCACCCCTGATTCTTAAATCAAAGCTTTGACAGATGTTGAACTCCGAGCAGGAGGCCCTGGACTGATGGAGCGCCCATGATTTTCAGATCACCGCCTCTTAGTGAGCTTAAACTCCGGGGCGGGGGCCTTGGACGCCCCTGGTTTTTAATCAGAACTCTTACAAATCTTGAACTCCGAGGGTCGGGCCTTGGGTTGATGGGGCACCCCTGATTTCTAAGTCACAACCCTTACAGATCTTGAACTCCGAGGGTGGGGCCTTGGGTTGAGGGGGCGCCCCTGATATCAGGTTCACCGGGTTTACCGGGTTTATCGGGTTTATCGGGTTTACCGGGTTTAGCGGGTTTATCGGGTTTATCGGGTTTATCGGGTTTATCGGGTTTATCGGGTTTATCGGGTTTACCGGGTTTACCGGGTTTATCGGGTTTATCGGGTTTATCGGGTTTATCGGGTTTATCGGGTTTATCGGGTTTAACGGGCTTATCGGGTTTAGAGGTGCGCGTCCGCTGTTTGCGCGCGCAATGTACATATACACGTACATATGCATATACATATACATATACATTTACACATGTATATACATATACATATACCTATACCTATACATATACACTCACATGTACCTAGGCAAAAACAAGTACATGTACACACTCATATACATTTACATATACGTAGACATGTACATCAAGGCTCGAATGGCCTGCAAGGACAGGAATATCGGTAGCCCCAATTCCCGGAGAATCGCCCCAAATGGGGAAGGGAACGCCCTTAACATCAACCATGGTGGGCCGTGCTGTCTATGAGCTCCTGGAACATGGGGAAAGGGTTTCACTCCGAGAGCTGCGCCTGGTCTTACAACACCGGGCATACATCGACCTGACATCCCAGAAGTCCTTCATAAGGCAAGTGGCAGAGCATACCTGCGCGACACTGACTTCCGGTCTCGACTTGACGCAGATGCCACTGGAACAAGGAACAAGACTGCGCGACCCGTATGTCGGTAAGTGGAAGCCTTTCTGCAGTACCGTTGCTACAGGTGCTGCTGTTGTTCCATGCATGACACATGGAAGCATGCTGTTCACAGAGCTTCACGACCTTGGCGGCGACATCGTTGTGCCTTCTTCATTTATCTGCGCTGAGACTGACAAGCTGCCGGAGGCGAATGCGTTGCATTTCAGGTTGACTTCGGAGTCTGCGGGACAATATGCGCGTGAGCGTCGCCGTGCACTGTTGGACTACAACAGTTGCAAACTACTGCGGACCGTGCCTTCGTACAAGACGGTCGGTGGTTGTGTTGGTATTGCGGCTGGTATAGCAGCCACTGCGAATGACGCGGTCCTAGGACGTACCATGCGGATTGGAATCGTTGATTCGGTCGTTGATCGAAGCCGGCAGCTTGCAGAAAGTTGCATTGACATGCAAGCTCAGGTATTGCTTGCAAAGTGATCGTACTGGCACGTGTGTCCACGGGTTGTTCGAGCAAACAGATGGGGCCACTGGGCTCGGCAACGAGGTGCAGCACGATGATTCTGGCTTGGGGCATCCTTTGCTCAAGCGTCTGCTGCTTGATGACATTCGCGAGGTCTCTGTAGATGGACGCGGTGCAGTGTGTTGTACCGTCCTGAAGTCATACGCAGAGCTTTGTCCCGTATGTGACTGGACGAGCCGCCTGAGTTCGTAGGGGTGTTGGACTTTCGTTAAGTATACTTCTCAATACACATATACATACACATATACATGTACAAAGTGCAAATACATATATGACATATACAGGGTTTCGTGGCTTTGCGGTGGGTGTTTGTGCTAGTGAGCTGGTGGGGCTGCGCGGGATTGCTGAGGACTGCGTCGGGAGGAGTTTAGAGATTCAGAGTCTTGAGTGGTCTGCCTGGCGGTCTGCAGGGTTTTATTCCCAGACGTGGTTGTTCCCTGCACCCCCTGCAGCTGGTACTTAGTTGTTCTGTTTTAGGATCACCTGAGAATCCACGCATAACATACACAAACACAAAGATATACACTCGCACATAGTCATACTCATATACATATGATTAAACTTGTTAAAGTTGTATCTTAAACACCCCCCCCTCTTTTGGCGATTCCGGTTCATCCCATATCTGAGACAGGCCCCCTCATTTGGAGATTCAGCTTCATGATACATCTTAAGCAAACCCATCCTGTGGCGATTTCGGTTCATCATATATCTTAAACATGCGCCTTCATTTATGTCTGCACCCTTGAAGGAGCTTCACACGCCCAAGCCTGACCTATCACGGAATGCAACCGGGTAGTTGGCGGCGGACGCAAAGACTGAGTGGCCGATCGGGGGGCAGGCGAACGAACGTCGACCGACAGACCGACCGACTGCTTGAAAGGCCGGCGGGACCAACCGACTGACTGACTGACCGGCAGGCTCGCGAACCGAACGACCGACTGACTGACTGGCCGGTGCTGGGTACGCAAACCGACCGACCAACCAACCGACTGACTGACTGACTGACTGAGCGCGTGGACCCACTAGCTGCCTGACTGACATGGGCCGACCTCAAAAGAAAAACCCAAAAACAAAAAATCAAAAAACACACATACCCAAAAAGAACACCCACCCGAGGGTGGGGGGGGGACCATTTTTTTCGAACTTATGTTGACTAGGGCTGTCCAGGTGGTGGTGCTGCACCGTCTGCACTTTCACCACCTTCAACACCTTCACCAGGCTGACAGCATCTGACAGCACATTTGCTCACAGATGTCTCGGCAACAAGGTTCACCAACATGCCGGTTCCAGCCTTCTTCCTGCGCCGCTTCTTGCGTGCTTCCGGGGAGCCGTTCGGGGAACCTGCTCTCTTCGCCAGGCGGGCAAGAACAATTTGCGGGAAAGCCCCTGCCTTCCCTGAGATTGCAGAAGCTTTCCTGCCAAAATCTGCCAAAGCATCCACAAAGCTGACAGGGCAACCGCTAAACCTCCGAGCTTGACAAGCCTGACAAGGCAGACTCTCCAGACGATCTCTTCAGGTCAGTCAGAGTATTCTGAGGGTGTAATTTTTGGTAGTTTAGTCCGGGTGACCGGCTCCATTGACTCCACCATGCATCCACGGTAAGATCTGAGAGCCGTGTCTGGTTCGCCTCGTCGCATCGAGTCGGTGACTCGCAGCTTCCAAGTGGAACCTTGCCCATAGGATAAACGCAGCATGGGATGGGATGCTTTCAAAGAGCATCTAGTCTCGGTTGTTTGGGGCCTTGAGGTCACACAACAAATGCTGAAGGTCATTCATCAGCACGACGCGGAACTTCTGGAACTCCTTCAAGGACTGGATGTTGCAGCACGCCAGCACTCTCAGCATTGTATTTTGAGAAGTTGAGTTTTTCAGATGCAAAGCGTTTTGGAAGCGCGGGTGCCTGCTCAACCAGCAATCTCATGTCTTTGCACGTGACTGCCTCGAGCTCTGCCTGGTGATCGAAGACTGCAAAACTGCATTTGCTCCTGAATACTGCAACCAAAGGTGCCTTTTCTGCTGCATCGGCACCAACCTGTTTTGAAGAAGTGGTGCTTTTGCAGGTGACAAACTGAGGTGAGTTGAAATCAACAAGGGAGCCTCAGCCTCAGCTGGCCAAAGAACTTTCCACATGCGTCAATGCTTCGACAAGCCGAGCAGTAACTCGGAGCACCTACTACATGCACTTTGCCAAGATTGCAGATGGATATGTGTGTGTGTGTCTGTGTGTGTCACATGTGTCGCCGCAGGCCTAACTGGTGCCGAACTAATGGCTGGGCCGGAGGTAGGGGCCTAAAGCCGGAATCGCGTGATGGGGACACAGGGTGCTACAAGGTGTTGCGACGAACCTGAGCCGACTCAAAATGGCTCGGGTTCGCAGGCTTCCAGCATCTTCCAAGCGCAAAAGTCCGCAAGCTTTCAAGAGTCACCAAGCCTGCCCACCATGCTGAGCACTAACCATTGCTGGGCTCGGTTTGCAGGAGTGCGCCCTGCAAGACTGTTGCTCCGCGTGTTCACGCGCCGACTGTACAAAGCAGCACATGACGGCTGTACAGCGTGGGGCACAGCACAAGTATCACAACATGCCGGCATCGAAAACCAACAAAACTGCCAAAAATTCTAAGATCGGCTCCCAGGGGCCTGTCCGTTGTGTCTACAAGTTTGGCCCCCTACAGACACTGAACTTAGTCACCTGGCTAACTGGGGTAAACATTTCGCTAAGTGGACTATTATGTGCAATAAGCTAACAAGTTCTGTAGCGTTTATGAGAATTTCTTGAAGATCTAAGTATACTTACGGACTTTAACATGCCAGAAATTATTCTGACGAAGTTATCGAATCTAAGCAACACCAAGAAAAGAGTTGGAAAGGCTGGCTGACGCCGCTGACTCTTGAAAGCTCAGCGCTAGGCGCACATGTCCATCACCTGTTCTGGATGACTCTGGAGGTCTTGGCGCCCTAACTGCACCCCCCAGGTTGCAACATCCCTGCCTCAAGGGCCAAGGAGTTCGCCTCCTTGTCCACCAAGTCCGGATTCCATCTTATCCACAAAATTAAGAAACTCCACCGGAGAGGGCGATCCAATGCGAGCGAAGACTGAACCAAGAAGCTGCAGAAGCCGACAGTTCGGTGCCCCGTTGCATCTGCGCCTTGCGGGGCATGTTTGTGACGGACAAAGCGACATGCCACAAGGGAGCCAGCTCTCCTCGAAGTGCTTGTTTTGGAGGTAGGAGAGGAGCTAATTCGAAAAGTCCTCGTAAGTCATACTGTACATGCCAAAGCAGGCGCGCTTCTTGTTCCATACTCCTTCTGGACCCGCTGGGATCCACGGCATGTTCTGCGGCTGACGGGCCTGCGCAGGTGCCAGCAAGCTCTCGAAACCCTACACCCATCTGAACCTTGTAAACCGAAACCCTGAACCCGGAAGCCGAAATCAACAGACCGACCCGAAACCCGGGGCCCAAAGCTTCAGCCATCCTGGCAAAGGAGCCCCGTAAGGGCCTTTAAGCCCGAAGCCCTAAAAGCCCCTTAACGCCCAAACCCCCAAAACCCTCTTACACCCTCTTAAACTTAAGCCTTAACTAAGCCCTGAACTCCCAAGATCCCTGGCGTTGCCAGCCTCCCATACTCTGAGCTCGATTCGGAGCCTCCCAGAATTCGGGTTTAGGGATCTTTGGGGTATAGGGGGGAACGGGGGGAGGGGGTGTAGGCTTGGGGAGTGTAGTCGAGGCTTTAGGGTTTCGGCCTGTAGGATTTAGGCCGCGCGTCCGAGACTTAAACTTTAGGGCGTTGGGGAGTTAGGGTTTCCGGCGCTCAGGGTTGGGGGATCTAGGGCCCAGGGTCTCAGGGAACTTGCCCTAAACCCTAAACCCGTTACTGTCAGGGTTGTTTCGTGGACTCTTGAGAGGGGTTCGGTTGGGGTGGTCGAGTTGTACGGCTTTTGAGTCGGGTAAGGTTTCTGACGTAGACATGCGCCTAACACAGAGTTTGCATTTCCGGGGAGGCACAGTTCTTGCAACACACGCATACGCGTGCCCAGGCTCACCAGGTCATTGGTGGGCTCCACAAACTGTATATGTATTGTTGAAGGTAAGCAGCAAACAGAAGACCACAAGGAGACAGAAAGCAGGAAATTGCAAGGCCTATAGCAGTTCAGCTTGCTCATGGCACAGACCCGCGAAGCAGGCATGGGAATGCAACAACATTTCATTTTTGCCGCGCCCTTCCACCACGTCAGCTCTTGTCATCGGCACGTGCTCTACAGCCCGATGCACGAAAGTGATCTAGGATTCTGTCAGCCCGTTTACCTTGGTACTGGCGCAAGGTCAGCCCCTGGCGCGCAGCCCATTGCTTGCCCCCGCCTCCAGCACGCTTCCGGCACTTGTACTTTTGTGGTGGAAGCAAGGCTGCTTCCACAGTTGCCCGGGGATCGTTGCAGAAGAGCCGGGCTGCACTGGTCTGTGCATCTTTCTCCGTGGCACATGGCAGGCCCTGAAAGATCCTGTTGCCAAATGCAGGCGTGACTAACTCTGTCACGAAGCCCTCCTCAGTCTTTGTGGTCCTGTAGAAATAATCTTTTTGATCTGCGGGTCGACGAGCGTGACGCGAGAAAAAGCGCCGCATGGAGTCCTTGGGATGATGCTCCTTCAGGTCCAGACCGGCTTCCCTGTCCAAGTCCGGAGCAGGCTTTCGTCCCTTTCTGTCGCCCTCCGAAGCGCCCTGGCCGTCGTCGCCCTCGTCAGCTTCATACTCACCTGCACGAAGATGCCCAGAGTTCAAGAATTCGGGACGGTCAACGGTCATTAGAAACATACGGTCTGAGTCTGAAGATGCATGCGCCGTGCCTTGAAGATCATCTTGCTTCACCTGCAGAGGCCGACAACTGCCATGTCACCAACTTGCCCGCCCCAAGGTATCACCATTCCGGATAAGGACACTCTCCACAAACAACTCCCGCACTGAATACACCAACAGAAAAGAAAGCGCCTCTGTCCATTGGTGATCTTCCCACTCTTCCTCAACTTTCCCTTCGGAGGGCCAGCGGTGTCCATCTTCCTGGGCTCAGGGACAGCTATGACAAGATCGGAACCCCTGAAGAAGCGTTGTCGATCTATGGCTACTTCTTAGTGCTAAACTCACAGCACAGACCGCATTTCTTGAGACAACCCAGCTTCGAAGCCATCTTCGTGTGGCGAAAATTCCTCTTCTTTCACGTCTTGCTTTGGCTCGAAATGCGTCCGCTTGCATGGCTTGCTTGCTTCTGCTCTGCCTTCCCGCTTGACCCTCCGCGCGGAGGGCTGGTCAGGCTTAAGCGGGCTTTCCAGCTGTGGCGAAGGTTCCGCGGCCTGCGGACGAAGAGCCTGCGGTTTGCGCTGCATCATGGCAGGGGCCGTACAACTATCGACTTCGCTACCAGGCTGCCTTCAAGCGATGTGGAAGCAGCCAAAGCAGCTTGGCTTCTTCAAGACAGCTGAGGGCAAGAACATGGCTTTGAAATTCATCGTGATACTCATGCTCGAGTCTGAAAATGTAAAATTAACGAGTCAGGGACATGACGTGACGCATCAGAAAAAAACACAGCAAGCGTCAGAAAGTCATCAGGAAAACCGGAAGTGAGCCCTAACCCTACGAGCCCTAAAACCCCAAAGCCTAAAAAACAACAAAACAAACCAAAACCCCCACTACCGACGGTAGAAAACACGTAGCCCCAAAAACCCTAAACCCCCAGCTCATATAGCTCAACCTCAAAGCGATATGTCTGAAGATGTTGACGATGCGGAATCCAAGTGAAGTGCGTGCCTCTGGGGCTCGAGCCACGAGGGTGATGTCAGGATGCAAATCAGCCACAAGGGACTGGCCGGAAGCTTGATGGAAAACGTGGAGTCTTGCGCAGGCGTAGACAGGAAGACAGCGCAAAGATGCATTGAAGCATTCTGAAGCGTTTCACCCTATTACAGCACTCACACGCTGTTGCAAGTCCGTTTGCAGGAAGGGCCTGTAGCTTTCCTGGTCATTGTTGCCAATGTCGACTTCCACATGAGCCTGCATTGCGCATGGAGCAAGGTTGAGAGCCCCGCATACAAGTCGCGCAAGCCATCGCCCTCATCCCACAGCCTCACGTTAAAGGGATGCTGATCGCAGCCAGGTGGGAACCTCGAAACCAACATCCCAAACTCACCCTGCACGACGGCATGCCTCGGACAAGCCGAAAGCCCTGAGATGCCGGGCTTCGTAATTAACTGAAGCCGCCAACCCCAAAAGCTTATAACATGGAGATCCCTAAGACCCCAAACCCAAAACCAAAACCGCGAACTCCACTCAAAAACAAAAAACACACCGAATTCACTGGTGGAGAGTCGCCCCCACTGTAAGTTCCCCGCAGAGATCCCGCCCGCACATGTCGTCTCCACGGGATGGCGGCGGTAGGAATCGGAACTTCACCCACCTCAGTCTCTCCCGTTTGGGCTTGCATCCTCGGGGCGTTTACTTAAAGGATCATGGGACTTGGCAACTAGGGTTATAAATATAAAGGTAAGTGGACTTATAGTTATTTTTAAACTAAGGTACTTATTACCTGACTTACTAAGTCCCATGATCCTCCAAGTACCTACAGTCTCCAGTATAGTTCATTTTTTGGGGTTACCTTTCAGAGTCCTGTACAAAAAAATGGCTCAACACAAAAAGGAGCTACAATTGAGACCAACCCGAAAGCTGAAACCGGGCGAACCATACACAAGACTCGACATCTTAAGTGAGCATTCGCCATCTAGCGTTGGCAAGCAAGCAGGGTGGAGTTGTGATGGAGGTTGCAGAAGTAACTCGAGGATCGGCAGTAGAGGGTGTTGAGTTCGACACTTGACGTCAGGTCTCTCTCGCTTCCGATCGCTGTGGAGCCGACATAGTCGTTTTAATCTTCCCAACCACCTGACGGAAGTCTTAGCAGATATCCTTCTTGGAAATTTGACATGGGCTGCTAGTTACGCCGGATCAGAGGTGGCATCTTCGCGCTTACCGTGGGTTACAGATGAAGGTTTCCTCAATCCCTAGCACTAGCACTACCTATGGAAAAGTCTCCGGTGTGGTTCCTTTTCTTGGTTGACCAGCTTTGTATTGAGGATGTTATAAGGGGAACCAAAAAGGAACTACGAGGTAGACTATAGGTACTTTCAAGGGGACCTCAGCCCAGACATCGAGCACACAAGCTGAAATCCCAATCCCCAAAGCAGAAACCCTTCCCAATTCGACGGGGGGGGAACGCTCCGCCAAAAATAAAACCTGCAACAAAACACGCCTCCTCCGGATGCTGTTTCTTGCCGGCTTTCTTGTCCTCCTGCTGCTTGTAACCTGACGGCTTCGGAAGGCGAGATTGCTCTGAAATCGCTCTTGGGTGCTCTGACATTGGGGGGCGGGAAATCTTCAGATCATCCTAAACATGCCTTGAAGAGAAGTTGTTGGGGGTTCGACTTCCGCGATTTGAAGCATCAGGCTCCTTACCAAGCTCGTCATGGGATTTAAAAGGAGCCTTGTTGGTCTGGCGTCGTTTCTCTCCGCCAGTCTTTCATTGTTGTATGTGAAGTCTCCTTTCCACCAGGGTCCATATGTACGACCATTGTTAAGTTAGGTTCCCAAGACCATAATAGGAATGGTCTGTTGGGACTTAGTTCCATGATAGTAGTAAATGGGGACCCTCTAGGCTTTAAAGGTCCTATGCCTAAACCCTAGAAACAGAAATTTGGCAAGCCTTCACAGCACAAGCTGCAAAGCTTCAAGCGCTCCGAGTGCGCGGCTCCTTCTCTCAATCGCGCACCCGTGACGCGTGTCCCCTCTTGAACTCCTCGGCGATAACATGAACTCGATCGGGTTGTGGCAAACGACAGCGTTGTTTGTGGATTCAAATCTGCTGTTGTCCTGATGTGCTGGGGCTCCTGCCCGAGTTGTCTTCAAACATGTGTCGACATGGGGGGTCCAAACAACTAGGGATTGAGTTGAGGCAGCGATGAAAAGCATCTCTGCGAGAGCAATCCAGCTGAACGCCGAAGCCTGAAGGTAAAGCACACCGTCACCAAACCGCACCTGTTGGACATTGCCGGCCTAAACCAGAATCAAGCTGAGTTCTCAACTGTATAGCGGCCACGATGATGGATGAGCTTGTGCTCCTTGCATGAAGAAGCAGAGCGTCTTCCAAAGTCAGGCTTGACATTAGGAGCCGTTCGATTTGGCAAAAGGTCTGGATACTGCCAGACCGCTTGAAGGCCACCAATGCATCTTGGCATAATTTGTACTTCGTTGCCTGCCCTGTTCCGGTAGCGAGGACGAACGAAACTATGATATGAAGCATCATTCAAATCGCTGTGGACCTGGTTCCAACATAATAGAATCGGCACTGATATCATACATAGCAGCATCGCAGGGCATTGAGGCTGCTCCACTAACTGGGACTCGGGCTATGGGTTCTGAAACCACCAACCCAAACACAAAAGTCATGGAGAACCCCATTGATGAAGTTGGATCAGGTGGAGTGCTATGCAATCCCCAGCTCTGAGCACCAGGTTTTCGGGCGTAGAGTTCTGTTCAGGGTGTAGTGGTTAAGGGCCAGGAGTATGGTGCTCAAAGAAGCCCAACAGCCTTGTATGGTATGGTCTTTGGGCCAAAAAGCCTTAAAATGGGCTTACAGAAGCCTCCGGCCTCTGAGTGGAGGACGTCGGTACAAACAGAGTCGAGGAAGTCGGCGTCGTGCGAAACCACCAGAAGTGTCCTGCTGAGACGATCATGGGACTTATAATCCCTTAAAGGTCTATAAGGGTCCTTTAAAGGGATCTATAGGGCTTCTAGAAGGAGGATCATGGGACTTGGTAAGTAAGGTCATAAGTACCTTAAGTGGGGCTAGAAGTACCTATACGTATACGTACCTTATTTCCGGACCTACTTACTAAGTCCGATGATCCTTGAAGTGGCCACATCGGAACCGGTAGCTCAAGCCGTTCTTCGGATTCCGTGTGGCGGGAAAGCCACGCAAACTGCCCCTTGCATCCGAAACACAGCCCTGATCCTACACCCCAAATCCGAAGCTGTGAACCCTGAACTCCAGAAAATGTGGGTTGGAAGGGCTAGGTTGCAGGCATTGCGAGACAGGCAAGGCGCACCTTGTGCACAAGGGCGAGGGCAGCGACGATGAGTCGTGAAAGGCACTATAAAACATGGCTGGTACATACATGAGCGCTGCGTCAGATGTCGCAGTTACAACGGCTGTGGCAATATTTGTAGCAAGGATATCGCTGAACTGTGAAACCAGGCAAGAAGTCAAGTTGTAGGTGACCAGGGGATGACATGTAGTATGTGATACAGCGCTGGTGGCAGCTTCAACATGCGCGGTTTGCCACAGCTGAAAGCTATGCAAATCACCTGCTGCAATCAAGACTTTTCCGAACCGCACCCCGGTCCTAAACCCAAGAAGACCTGAACCGTATATGTTCCACTCCTAAGCCAGATACATCAAACCCCACACCCTAAACCCGGCTCCCGACGACGGAAAGCCAGACAGTTCAGAGCCCTCGACCCCAACCTGTAAACATCCTACCTATCCTTGAAGCTGCCCGGCTTGCATCTCTGTGTTGTAGTTTTGGGGACCTTTAAAAGTAAGGATGAATAGGTACCTCTATAGAAACCAGCACGGATATGTTGAATTTTCCCAAAGTGCCACCTAGATCTCGGCGCCCGACTTGGGGTATTCATGGAGATACTCGTCGAGCCAAAGCCTCAGCAACCATTCCTAGACCCGAGTCTCGCCGGGCCTCTTACAAAGCCGAAGTGAATCCTAAAGCCTCCCGCATCCGGCATTGCACTAATGCTACGTGCAAAAAACTCTTGACGAGGAATTCAGGATCTGGAGCCTGGCAGCTTAGGGTTTAGGGTTTCGGGTGTAGGGTTGAGGGTTTGGGGCTGTCTAGGGTTTCGGTTTTAGGGTTTGGGGTGTCAGGTTGAGAATGTGAGGGTTTTGGGATTCAGGGTTTGGCACCAAACCTAGAAATCAACCCCAAATCCTAAACCATCTACAACATGGAATACGGCTTAAACCTAAACCCTAAACCCTGAGGATCCAGTACATCAAAGATGGCGACTGACTGAAACTTCGAGCTTCTGCGAGCTACGGTAGCTACTTTATGCTCTACACTGCCTCTCTGAAGCCCGAGTGCCAACTGCAAGCCTTTTCCGTGCAACGACGAGATGCGGCATTCAGGCATTACCATCCCACAAAGCCAGCCTACAGCCCAGAGACCTAAGTTTCTCGGAAAGCGCTTGGATAGCTTCTTGCTGAACTAGCTTGGGACGGATGCCCCGCTGAATCATAGCCTCCTTCCAGTCTTTGTTGAACTTTGCCAAGATCTCTCTTCGCAGTACTCTGGAAGGTGGCGGAAGCCACCTGGAAACCTCGCGAGCGTCTGTATCTTCCAGGAATGTCCTACAAGCAGAGGTTTCCGCCATACTGCGAAGTAGCATCGGGTGGCCTCGAAAACTGCGCTGGTAGAAGGAGGGCGTCGTCAATGTTGATGCAAACCTCCTCTGATTGTTCTGATAAATTGCTTCCGTGTCGAAGTAGCGGTCCTCGGATTCTGTCTGCCTGTACCTGGAGAAGAAGGTGTGCACCAATTTCTTCAAGTCCTCACGGCATGTCCGGACATCGAACGTGTAAAAAGCCTTCATACCTATCTCTTTCGTGAGGCTTTCAGACACAGTTAAAAGTATTTCCTTCTCTTCCGGACTGAGATCTGCGAAGCCTCCACGAGGCTCTTGCATGCCTGCTGCATCCGCCAGTTCCAAGCCATGCGCCGTGGCCTCCAAGTCCTGTGACAACGGTTGCCAGGATGCTTGTGACAAACTTTGCGAGGCAGACGTCGATGTTCCAGCAGCGGTACTTTGAGAATAAATGCCCTCCTCCTCCTCCTCCTCCTCTTCCTGCTTCTCCTCATCATCCTCCTCCTTCCATGCCAGCTCTTCCTCAAGGCTTTCTTCTTTAGGTTCAGCAAGATCCTCCTGTGCGTCAACGCTTTCCTCTTTAGGTTCAGGCTCCTCTTTTACAACCTCTTCCGCACCAACATCCTCCTCCTCCTCTTCCACCTCCTCCTTGGTGTGCGGCTCTTCTTCCGGCTTCGCACCGAAACCCTCCTGCGATGGACGCTCTGGGCTTCCAAAGCTGCGGATGACCTGGGCAAGGCTCAAGCCTGTTTCCAAGCGTTGCCTCTTCTGAGGCCGCATGGCCGATGCACGCGCCGTGTGAACTATGGAACTGAGATACTGCAGTGGTGGTGGCAGGAGGGGAGAGCGTGAAACACACAATGAACGCCAAGTACGAGCAGTCTTCGTTGCATTCGGGCTGGTTCCCTACATGCCATAGTTCTGAATAACTAGTGTATATGCCAGCATGCGCAGACGTCCGAATGCCCCCGCGCTGCCGGAGTCTTGTTCACATGTGTTCGCTACCTGATGGAGCTGAGCCCGGGCATCACAAACTCCAGCCATTGCTCTCAAACACATGCAAGGAACAGCCCAAGACAATGCAACAAAGTAGAGGTTGCACTGTTTCGGATTGGAAAGGACGGTTTCAGAATCCCATCGGCATCGTTACTGCCATCACCATCACCACCATCGCCCCCGCAACGGTGCTTCAGATCCGTGTGCATGCAAACGGTGCCTGCTGCAGCTCGAAAATCAAATCAGACAACCGTAAACCCACCGCCACACTTACCAGCAACCTCAAACACGATGCCGGACATCTCAGGCGCGAGCCCCTGCCACGTCAGCGAATGCAGCTGCAGCCATGGAAGGGGCCTACTGCCTGTGAAACGATCGGAGACGAAAGCAGGTTTTGCAAGCAGTGTTTGTCAGCTCCAGTTTTCTCGTGGCGTTCGCCTTTCAGTTTCGCCTGGGAGGCTTGCCAAACTTGGACCAGAAAGAACGAACGTCGCGCAGTGCAAAGAAGGGTCTTCGGGTCTGTGGAGAAGGCTTCTGCGCTCTTGTTTCGTTTGGAGGGGACTGGGATTTAGGGCGTGCAGTGGGGGCTGGAGGGGCAAGCGGAGAATCATCTGGGCTGCAGGCCGGTGAGAACCCAAACCCTAAACCCTGAGGAGTACAAACCCTGAAGCTCAAATCCTAACAGAACTTGTCCTCCTTCAGCCTGGCGAAACAAGGTGCTTCCTCAGGTCAGCCATGTCATTCCATTGACCTTGATGCTGATGCACGGTTTAACTTCGACTGTGTTCAAGCTGTTTCGGGTCTTTTTTGCTTGCCACTGGCCTGACGAAACAAGCTGCTTCTTCAGGTCAGTCATGTCGTTTCATATGTTTCATTGACCCTGATGCTGGTGCACGTGTTAAGTTTGACTCTGTTCAAGCTGTTTTGGGTCATTATGATTCCAACTAGCCTGATGAAACAAGCTGCTTCCTCAGGTCGCTCATGTCACTCCTTTGACCCTAATGCGCAGAATAAGTTTGACTGTGTTCAAGCTGGTTCGCGTCATTTGCTGCTTGTTGGTGCAGGTTGTGGTTGCAGCTGTTGTTGTTGTTGTTGTTGCTGCTGCAGCATCTCTCAGGGGTGCGCAGCTGCAGGTTCCGTGAAGTCGGCCTTCGAAGCAGGGCGAACATCACCTGAGTGGGCCAAGGACCAAGGGAAAGGGGGAAAAGGCGGGTGGAAAGCCACCCACCCAAAGCCAGCACTCCGAAGGCCAGGTAGAAGGCAATGCGGCCTAGGAGAAACATTGGAGAAACCAAAAGCCAAAACAAGCAAAGAGAGAAGCGAGGAGAAGAGAAGCGCATGCAGCTCAGAGCGAGGAGTCAATGGGGCTCACAAGTCAATTCAAGCTTTTGTCCCGGAGACAAGCGACGAAGGGCTTGAGCTGCCTAGGCCACAGACGGTCGAACAAATTGGTTACATTCATGGAAATGCTTGGAAGAACAATCGCAAAATCCGCTACGTTCAAAGCTCCAGAGACTCGTTTCACTTTGACTGCGCTTTGGCTATAGTTTCGGAGCGCGCTGCTCTGCGGCCCGACAGTCCAAGACATTGGCCAAAAGCCGATGGGCAAAACCATGTGCCGACACAGACACACACACACACACAGAGACACACATGCTCCCGTTTGACTGCGCGTGTGCCTGCATGACACAATGAATACAGATCACCCACTTTCCTTGCCAATGTTGCTCGCATTTGCTCGCTCTCTTTCTGGACCCCCTCCCAACCTAGAGGCCCTCCGCATGAGGACGCAGCAGCCAAGTGCCACCTGCGGCTCCGGCTGCGATCCCAGCCAAGAGTGCCTTCGTACTGCCACAGACTCACAGAGATTTTCGTAGCATCCTTCTGCGGCCACGCAGCGCTGCCCCAGGCCGCGCCTGGCTGGCCATGCTGGCGGGGCCGCTAAGGCCAGGAGGACCATGATTGCAGTGATTGCAGGTGCGAAAGTCATGCTGTCAGCTGTTCGGAGCCAGAGCAGTGTGGACCAAGCATCGTGGCAGGCGATCAGCGAGCTGCCGTGCAGACGCCTACCATTAGTGTGAAATGTACGCATATGCGAAAGAACACTGTTTCTGACCAAAAAATCTTCAATAGAATTCTGTCCAATTGATGTGATATCATCTGCCGGGCTTCCAGGTATTCTGGATGCTCATGAATCATATGAGAGGCGTGTGCGAACCTTTCAGTAGGCAAAAACGAAGAACATTTTCGAAGTTCCCAAGGTACCAGACCATGCATTAACGCCAACCACCATCCAGCCATGCCCAGCGCCCCGAGAACCCAAAGCAAACGAAGAAAAAGGCAAGATCAAAATTCCCATGCAGTTACATTCAAAGGTGACATGAATTTCCTTCATATAGAGCGACTGAACCAATGAGAGAATTTCATCTTTGACTCGTACAGTACGATAAAGCTGCTTAGTTGAATTTCTATCTAGGTTCTATTTTTGCGAGCTTCCAAAACATTCCTTCAAACAACGTCGTCCTTAAAAGCGTCTGAGAGCCCAACTCAAGAGAAACGCGCACCAAGTATCAGTCACATCATATCCTCTAAGTCGGACGCACCCAGAACACCACACGCCCGTCACCACCCACCAATAATTCAAAACGCAGGTGAGGACAGATCATCCGAAAATGAATTCTCGACTCAGAAACATTCCAATTGTATCTATAATATATACTAAGCAAGAAGGATGAAAAATGATGAACATCAGTGACCGACATCTTGCTTGGAAGAGTTGCCCAACAGGGATCTTGTGAGGGTGGTCAGACAGAAGTGGGGGAGTGTCGCAATTGCAAATGTTCATTCCACTCGCTCACGTTCCCTAGAGGAGTGTGTGGTGGGCGTTGCCCCCACGACGGAGAAGGCTGGTTCACCTACGTTCACCTCCTTGGATTGGATCCCCAAACCCCCTTTGTGTCCTGGGCACTCTCATCAGCACGGTAGAAGAGCTGCAGCCCTGTTTTACTTCGCGACCCTCCGCAAGAATCTGTCCAGAGCTGCGCTGGGCTTGGAAGAAGCAGGGACAGTGGCGTCCACAACGCGGGAGTTCCCCAAAGCCTGCAAGTTGCGCGAAGAACCAGCAGAAACATCACAAAAGCCCGCAAAAACCATCGAAGACCCTCTCCGGAACTGCCTCGTCCTGAGGGAGCATCTGGATCAAGCGACCCAGCCGTTGTTCGTCTACCCTGGCGATGTCCATACAGCTGGGCTCCGCAACTAATGCAAACGAGCAACCAGCTCCTCTCTGCTGGACTGTGGCTGCCGACGTGAACCTTACCAAGCAACTTCCTTGTGATTTTACATGATTTTACTATTGGTTAGAAAAAAGAATCAAATCCTACCCTGCAGCATGACAAGAGACCGGTGCAGCAGCGCTGAAGTTTTCCAGAGCCAGGCGGGAGTCCCAACCTTGTCCCACTGGCCGAGAGAAACGAGCATCTGATGCTGATGCACGGGATAAGTATGACTGTGCTCAAGCTGTTTCGGGTCATTTTGCTGTCCAACTAGCCTGACGAAACAAGCTGCTTCCTCAGGTCAGTCATGGCATGGCATTGGCCCTGATGCTGATGCACGGGTTAAGTTTGACTGTGTTCGAGCTGTTGCGGGTCATTTTGCTGTCCAACTAGCCTGACGAAACAAGCTGCTTCCTCAGGTCAGTCATGGCATGGCATTGGCCCTGATGCTGATGCACGGGTTAAGTTTGACTGTGTTCGAGCTGTTTCGGGTCATTTTGCTGTCCAACTAGCCTGACGAAACAAGCTGCTTCCTCAGGTCAGTCATGGCATGGCATTGGCCCTGATGCTGATGCACGGGTTAAGTTTGACTGTGTTCGAGCTGTTTCGGGTCATTTTGCTGTCCAACTAGCCTGACGAAACAAGCTGCTTCCTCAGGTCAGTCATGGCATGGCATTGGCCCTGATGCTGATGCACGGGTTAAGTTTGCCTGTGTTCGAGCTGTTGCGGGTCATTTTGCTGTCCAACTAGCCTGACGAAACAAGCTGCTTCCTCAGGTCAGTCATGGCATGGCATTGGCCCTGATGCTGATGCACGGGTTAAGTTTGACTGTGTTCAAGCTGTTCCGGGTCATTTTGCTGTCCAACTAGCCTGACGAAACAAGCTGCTTCCTCAGGTCAGTCATGGCATTGCATTGGCCCTGATGCTGATGCACGGTTTAAGTTTGACTGTGTTCGAGCTGTTGCGGGTCATTTTGCTGTCCAACTAGCCTCACGAAACAAGCTGCTTCCTCAGGTCAGTCATGTGTTCAAGCTGTTTCGAGTCATTTTGCTGTCCAACTAGCCTGACGAAACAAGCTGCTTCCTCAGGTCAGTCATGGCATTGCATTGGCCCTGATGCTGATGCACGGGTTAAGTTTGACTGTGTTCAAGCTGTTGCGGGTCATTTTGCTGTCCAACTAGCCTGACGAAACAAGCTGCTTCCTCAGGTCACTCATGTCATTCCATTGGCCCTGATGCTGATGCACGGGTTAAGTTTGACTGTGCTCAAGCTGTTTCGGGTCATTTTGCTGTCCAACTAGCCTGACGAAGCAAGCTGCTTCCTCAGGTCAGTCAAGGCATTGCGTTGACTCTGATTTGACTGTATTAAAGCTGTTTCGGGTCATGCTTCGCTGCAACGGTTCTGCGCTTGGCCTGGGCACCGGGGCCAGGGCGCCTGCCTTTTACTTCAAGAAGTCCTGCCAGGAGCTCGTGGTCTTGGGAACCTGTGACGACCAAGCACAAGCTCACA